TAGAGGTTGCCTGTTCGTGTAGAGAAAAGCCATCGTATTTTTATACTTTACATTTAATATTAGCACAACTTTGGAAGCATTGATGTAAGAACACTGGGAAATGTGGAAACGTAGGAATAGTGATAGGGTGGATACTTATGATTAGAGCGTCCATCCACTTGATGAAGAAGCAGTTGACCCAGATTAAATTCCATTATTTATTTAAATTCACATGTTGTGGCCCAATTAACTTGGCACTCCAATCATGCCCACTTCCAAAACATTCACAATCAATTCAAAATATTTTGATACTATACTGGTAGAAGCTATCATAGCAGCACATAGATGATTGTAGCAAAGTATCTTAACAGGATGAAAGCTTAAGCGAAAAGAGAAAGACTGTCTCAGTATTTCAGAGGAAGAAGGGAAGGAGTCAAAAAAGGTTTTGGTTTACAAATTACTTTGATTGGGCAAGAGATATCTGCATTAATTGTTACGTAAGATCTCATGAATAATTTGAATGACGCAGTTTAGACCCACAGCGCTATTTCCAGGACGCAGGGATGAAGTTCCCAAATGAAATAAAAAACAAAAGAGGCTATAGTGAATTAAACTAATTATAAGTTCGCTTTCATATTTTTTATCTTACATATATATATATCTGAAATAACAGCAAGGAAAGACGGAGCACTGTTAATGCGTACTTACATCCATATTGAAAAGGAAGAATTCTGATTGCGTAGTATGCTAATGTGTTGGGATCGTAATATCTAAGAAACTTGGCAGCGAGGCAGTTTTAATTTCATTTTTATTTTCCAGTTGACGTTTGTGACCACAATCATTTGGTACTCTAGTCGTGCCTTCCCAATCTGTTACCTGGCTCGGTGAGATTAGGTTTTTATTCTTATATGCTGGTAAATTGCGCATTTTTGGCTTTAAAAGTGTTTGAATTATGTGGTTTTTGTGTTCCAGTTAAAGGTTTTATGCCTTTTGTTAATTCGCATGCAATAGTTCTGGAATTATCAACAATTTAAAAGTTTAATTGTTGAGTTAAGCCTAACGAACTGCCATTTGTTTACATTTGAAACTCAGAAGAATAGTGAATTAAGTAAGTTTCTGCACCTTCAATGTGTTTTTACCGATTGGGACCAAAGGTAAACTTTCAATTTTGTGCACCGAAAAATCTGCCTTCTTGCCCGCTAGCCTAATTGCTTGTTTTTGCATAGAAACTCTAATTTTAATTAAAATTTTAACTGTTATAGAAGACGTTTTGAGTTTTTATGTATTTCTGCTTTGTCGACAAGTGAGAACTGAAATAATTGAATGAGAAACATATCTCTAATGAAATTCGAGGAAATAAGTTTAAATGAAAGGCAGCAAAAAATGTGTATAGCTTAATAGACCATACAAAGAAGTCATGTGGTGGCCAAATCAGATTTTTTTAAATTATAAATTTCCTTCTTTGCCGCTTGGCTATAGTTCGTATGTTAAAACTACAAGATGTTTATAGAAAGCTTAAACTGCTGATTTTCTCTTTATTTCATTTTATTCTTTATCTTATTATCAGAATTCTGCTCCGTTCCGGAGAATTCTATTTCAATAGCTTAAATTATTTTTCACTAACGTTTATATTTCATTTTAATAATCTTTTTCCTTTATTTTATTATTGTATATATATTTTCCCCTTACTTTTACCCTTTATGTTAAAGATTTCTCATTTAGTTCATTCATCTTTATGAATCTCACTTATTTGCTATGCACTGTATTTTTAGTTTTCGATTTAATGCATACAAGTCAATAGAACCTAATCATTATTAGCATTACGAATAATTTGTTATAAAATGTTATATGCTACTCTTTTACTATATATGCACAACCTAAGAGAGAAAATGGAGTGCTATTGGATTCTGAAATACGAAAATTGCAGCGAGTGCATTAACTCCCTAATTTACGTAAATAACTTGAAATTCAAGTTTGTTATATGATTCATGAACGAGAGAAAGTGAAGAAAACATCAGAGGAATATACATTTGTCATTTTCACCGACTCATGGAAAACGATTTTTTTTTCACAATAAACTCTAAACTGAAGAGATGCCTGGGACACGCCACTTAAAAAAGTTTTTGCTAAATGATAGTTTAACTACAGTTTTTATATTAGGTTTACGTACCGTGGTTTGCTCATACTTTAAAGCATCTGCATATAGCAGTTAACGGTTTTCATTCCTCGTGAGTTTAGATCAAATCCTAGGCTTTAGCCGAAGTCCACTTCCTCACAATCAAATCCAATGACCTGAAAATGAGTTTTTTCAACTAAGAGAAACTTCGAACGGCCACCCGTTATTCTTTTCTAGGAGTAAAGACACGAAAAACCAAAGATAGGAAATATCGTTGATCTGGTTATATACAGACATGCTCCTCTTCCGCTGGTATATTTCTTCATGTATAAAGCTTAAAATACGGTATTTTTTAGAATGTTTAATCTGCTAATTAAATTGTTGAGTAAAGAATCCTGAAAAACAACAATAGCTTGTTTTCCCACACAGAAGATTTCCGCAGCATTAAATTACGCTATAAACACAGGAGAGTTCTGAATTGATCACTCGTCGTTACAGCTTAAATATTATTGCTAGCAACGATGGAATGGCATTAATGGAAGAAAGAGGCATCAGTCCCGGGTATTGAAATGAACCGTATCATCGTCTGAAGATAACAGGATTTTAAAAGTTTCTTCGAATGCCCGGCGTTCACAAATATCGCAGAGTAGTGGAGTGCAAACGTTTCGCGTATTAAGAAGGGGACTAGCTCTGTCTGAAGAAAGGCTATCAGGTGTTTCTCCCGCCTTCTTAGCATGCCTTCGTGGTGTAATGGTCAGCACGCTCGGAGCGTATTCGAGAAGTCCGTGGTTCGAATCCGGCATTGCTCATTTTTCATGTCTCCTGATTCGAAATAACCTAATGTCTCTACAGTGGCGCCAGAACCTAATGTATCTACAAAGCAGCATCTTAAAGTTTCGTTATACCCTTTGTGTCTATAAAATTATAGAATAGAATCGCAACGTTTCTTCGAGTTCATCAGCGTTTGAAGATTAATTTTGTTTAATTGGACATTCATTCGTAAATTATACACCCGTTTTGCATTGTTTTGTTGGGACTATCAGAGTCCTGAGAGCAGTTTTAATGCATTGGAACATCATTGTTCTGAAATTATCTACTTTTTTCACACTGAGTAGTGATCATAATGTCATAAAGTATCTGGATTATCTGCATCCATAAAAATCTTTATTGTGCACTCGATGATCAACAGTCTTTTCATATTATAAGCATCAATCATTAGTGCAAGTTTAAACAGTTTGAATTTAAAAATCTTTAAACTGAGGTTGTGAATTATATTATTTTAAGTTACAGAATCCTTTTAGAATTTTTCCAAGCCAGAAAACTGAAGAAATCCGCAATACCCTAACTGGGATTTGAACACCGGACCTCCCGGTTGCCAGCCGTAGATATTATCCATTTACACAACGGAGGCACGCAGTAATGAGGAAGAAAATGCAGTATGAAACTATTCTGTAATTTAAACTTAGCTGAAGTTTACGTTACCGAAAGTGCTTTTGGTTCGCGATACTGCCTTTCTCTTAAAGTTGGAAACAAATGTGTGCTAATTTTGTTTTATGTTTCGAATAATATACACATATATTTTTCTAAATTTGAACTTGTAAAAAGAGAGAATCTTTTAATATCTGCTGTGTTTATGTTATACTCTGAAGCAGATGAAGTTCATGTAGATTGAATATGTAAAAGAAACTATAATTCTGAATATTCAGAATTTTAATTTGTATTTTGACATGTTATTACTAAGTTGCCTTTGAATTTATTAAACAATAAAATTGATAGAGTTTTATATCATTGAGTTTCAACGATTTGTTTTGATATGAAATTATGAAAAGCTGATAATTTGAAATTAGGAGAAAAGGCTATATTTTCTTAGTATATAGTTTTCAAATTGTTCTTATATTGATATAGTTTTCAAATTGTTCTTATATTGATATGTATTTGTGAGGATTTAAAATATTGCCTTTGAATGCATACATTAATTTACGTAGGCAGTTTTGATAATAAGAAATAAAGTGTTATAGAATTATCATAAATCATCCGGTTTAATCTTTTAAAACTGAATGCATAATGACAGCTTAAACTGTCTTTTTTATTAAAATTATTAAAACATTTTTGTGAAATTTAAAGGTTAAGTTTTTTTTTTGGATATTTAAAATTTGTTATATTTTAAAGGTATAAGTCCATATAGTTTAGTTAAACGTAATGAGTATTATAGCATTCTTAACAAAAGCCAGAAAAGGGGATCTTAAAACCCTGGCTGAAATGTTAGGTAAAAAGGTCGGACCTTGAGCTTAAAATAATGGATCAAAAATAGCGGAATTCGGGTAACAAAGCCTACGAAAAAAAGTTTTAAAAACATCTCGGAAAATATCACTTTAGCGAGGTTTCAGAGCGACAAATCCTTCGTATCAGTGTACTGAGGTATAATGCTTTACAACAAGGATGCACGATAAATAAGCTGTAACGTAGTACATCTTTACAGATGACATTACGCTCATTGTCGATTTGCTCCGAACATTAATTTATATATTGTATAAAATAGTTGTTGTTTTCCCGATCTTTGTAAAATGTTTGTGCATTTCCAAAAGGCTATATGTCTGAATACTCTCTAAATTGATAGACGTTTATTCAAAATCTATGCTGTTATACTTTGTTGCTATGTTAGTAGATTTAACGTTTTCAGTATTGAGTTTTTCCTCCCTCATTGTAGTTCTCTGAATTTTTCTAATATTTTGCGGAAATAGTTTTTCTCTCCCACCTTCTCGTGTGAAGAACAGTTGAATTGCTAGTATACGATATATGCGTCATGTTTCGTGTATAATGAAACGGAAGTCCTTTTCTAACGTATTAAATATTATTCTTTTATAAGGAATGTTTTGCAATTCTTATAAAAAGAAGGCACAGTTAATTTATGTTAATAAATTTTATTTCATAACTGTTATATATAAACACTTTTATTACATTCCTTCAGAAATTGAATGTGTAACAGCAAATGAAAATGGACGAACAGTTTCAGTGAGCAACAGTCTTTGACAGTACCAAATTATTACAGATGCTTTTGACATTTTCACACTTCAAAACCTCAAAAAGCATTATCATTGAATTAATATTAAAAGTATTTACACCGTTTTATAGAACCTTGTTAAAGTTCTAAAAATTGAAGTTTTTTGCATTACTAAATGATACATAATTCATTCACATTCTGTTGGTTCTTTAATATCGGACATTTTACAATTCGGAATTTGCACTTCATTTCTAGTTCTTGCAATAACTGAATACTGAATGCGCATATTGTCAGGAAAAAAGTGTTCTAGATATTATAAAGTGTTTAATCCAATAGATTCATTTATACAACGTATCTGGTTTAGTCTAAACAATTTTTATACCGCAATCAATACACTATTTCATTATCTTATATTTATTATAACAGCTCTTAAATTTAATGAGAACTGTTATAATAACTTACTTTCTTATAACAGGGAGCAGAAGAGCAAAACTGTCGTCACTTTGCACATTTTTACAAAATTTCATTTGGCACTCTACCTGGTTTTTGCTCTAGCGCTCACTGAGTTTCTCTTAATGGCATAATTCTTACTTTGATCTTTATTAACGGAGTTGGGACAAATCCTAAATTTTTTTGAAATCAAATCTTGTTCTCGAAATTACGAAATCTTTCGAATCCCTTGTATAAGCATATTACTAAGAAAAAAGAGAAAACGATTTCACTGAATATTAAAAGCTTTAATTAAAGCAAAATTTAAAATCTGCGAATAAGAAATAAGGAATGCCAGAATACAACCTTTAGAAAGGTATCTATATTTATTGAAAAGATATAAATGAAATTTAGCAAAAGTAGTTCAAAGTGAAAACTCTTGTATCTTTAGATTAATTTTTCAAAAATAATTTGAAAAGTTTATTTATGTAACATTTCAAATTTTTTATATTTTCTCATAATCCGTACAACCCAAACCAAGTGTAAAAGGGAAAGATTATTTCAAGAATTAACACAGATATACACTAAACTTGGAAAGCTAAATTCTTTCCCGAAAATTAAGAGTTTGCATTCAGGTCCATTGAAATGGCAACAGCCATATTAATTTTTTAATGTCTACTTCTCTTTGACGTCAATAATGAATTAAAATGTTTGTTGGCCTTTTTGAATAGGACTTGAAAGATTCGAATAACAGAAAAACCGAGAAGATTCAAGTCTTGTTTGAACGTCCCATCACTATTTATTAATTTATTCCTAAACTCTCGTTATATGCATTCCGTTTCTTCCTTCGAAATTAAAGGATATCTATGAAGGGATTTTGCACAGGAAATATTTACAAGGAATAGACGAGACCATATGGACGGACCACTGTACAAGTAGAGACAGTTGCAAGAAGTATGAAAAAGATCATTTTACTTCTTTGTCTATTCTATTCTGGTAATTATAATTACTTAATTTAATTTATGTCTTAACTAATTAACTTCATATTAGTCCAAAGTAAAGCCACCGATGAAAAAAGCCTTCAGAATGAAGTTCATGTTTTCATATTCTCATGCAAAATGACAAATTTGAGACACATATCATCCACATGTGATTGTAACTTCCTCTCATTAGGGCAGTACATAAGTAAATAAAAAAAGTTGGCTAATGAGTGTCTTATAACACAGTATCATTCAGACTTTCTTTTCTACAAATTCTTCTGCTAGTCCAGCATCACAGGGTATTTGCAAAATATGTTAAACTGATTCTACTCACTTAAAAAGCACATAGGATTTGATCAGTCCTGAAATTTTTATAAAATATATTCGAGGAAGGTATGATAAATCTGATGTCAAGCATGTCCGATCTTCTGTTCAAGACGCTGCACAATAGTAATTTCTATGCGTAAATTAAGATTTTTAGACAAAAATACATAAAGTAGCATCAGGTTATGCTTCATGATGCTGCTCAACACTTCCACTGTGATCTTCTGTTATTCTAAATTCTGCAGATTAATCACTACAATATTTATTTTGTGTGACAAATTGTAGTACTGTATATTCTGAATATAAGGTACATTATTTATACTGCTATTTCCATTACTAGCATTACATAAATACTATTTAAAATAAACAATTATTTCATTTGAAACTCATAATTGTAGGAGGAGGATTTGTAGCTTGAACTATTGTGCATGAAATGATAGTAATTTTCAGAATAAAAAAAATAATATTTAGGAGTAGCTTAGTATTAAGTTAATCAAACCTTCCATGGAAAAGGTTGATCAAAATCATATTGCAAAATGTTGATCAAAAGCATATTGATCGTTAAACTATAAAATTCGGAAAGTAAAGTTGAAACACATGAAGTAAAAAAAAATCATTGAAGTTAACATGAAAGACACTTTAAACTTTATATTTTTAAAAATAATGAAATTCATTTATGCAAACAGTATAAAAAGAAAGTTAGTGGTACTACATACATCAGAAATTAGAGAATTACGTAATTAAAATAACTGGAATGGAGTTTATTTACCACTGGTAAGGACATTGATATTGTGATAGATATGACAAAGGTAAGTAAATAAAAGAAAAGAAAGCTATTCATAGTAAATAAATATTAGTTCCATAACCACAGAGCTTTCTCCTTGTAAGCTGCATATCATAGCAATGATGAAGTCATTTAGAATTCTAGATTTATTGAATCAGTGATTCAATGAGTGGATGCAACTGTTCTTAGTCCATATATATGTAGAATAAAACAATGTTTCTATACTTATATTTTTAATTTAAAAATATGAGGGTGTTTAGGCTAATAAAGAAATAAATTAAACAGCTTTCCCAAGTTCTAAGTAAATGTGGTCGTCTACAGTTTCAATAGAAGTAGTATGTATTTCTTAATTTTTTCAGAATAAAGCTGATTATCCTGTAAAAATTTATATAGAAAGTAAAAAAAATCTATATATTTATGTCAATAATTATAAAAAGACGTTAATTTTAAAAGGTGTTTCTAACGAAAATATAAGCTAACTTTCGATAGAGTTTGGTATTTAGGAATTATACCCGTTTCTAGCTCAATAGTTAAATTAAGTTTGATGCTGTTAACATAGATGAAATATTTAACGATAAAAGTCATCTTGTTGAAAACATTTAAAACACTTAACAGAAAAGCTATTAACCATGTCTTTCAAGTCATATAAATCAGTCAAGATCAGAAGTTAGGATTTTCTTAATCATGGGTAAAGGTACAAGAGGGGCAATGCCTGAAACACATAGAAAGCGAACTACAGCATTCCGCAGTTTTAAAAAATTGGAGATCAGAAGTTACGTCGTCTCTGTTAGTAGGCATACCACCTTTTCAGAAAGTGTAGTTAAAATGTACTACATTTAGTTATCTATCAGTAAAATCAGGAAAAAGTTGCTTTTTATCATGCAGACAATGGCATGATTAATAATGGCTATGTTTCATATAAAAGCCTAGATAGGAGATATAACTGAAACGGCTTTATATATAAATTAAAAAATTTATTGTCAAAGATAATAATTTAAACTATTTTCGTGTAGTAAGATAATTCATTTAAGTAATTAAGTAAAACTTAACAGTATGTGTAGAGTGCAGAATTTAACACCTTTCAAATATGTATAATTAATTAGTGAAATTTAAAAGTAAAAGAAGTGTTATATTAAATTCCGGCAATCATGATAGAATTATAAACACTTCTCTATTCTAAAGAATTTGTTAGTTCCCAACTTGCCACCTTAAAAGTAAATTTAAATCATTTTTTAGATGAGATTAAATAGATTGTGAAGCAGGAATTAAACAAAAGTATGCCAAAATAACGTGTTCGTTGCTAAGAGAAATAAGAAAGATTCTTTTGAGTGGAGGTTTTGATAGTTCTTTATCATTAGAATATTGAATAAATGTATTACTTTTTTATATAATTCTCGAGAATTATTCTTCCGTATACTAAACGTGTAATCGTATCAAGAAATTATCTAGCTTTTTTCTGTTAACGTTCTGTAAATCTTGTGATAAGTTTTAACATTTAATAAAATGTATGCATATATTTTTATGATTTTAAAAGGAAGATATAATGGAACTCCTCTAAAAATGTATGTAAATTTTGTATTGGGACAAAAATTTAATATAAATTTTTTTGTCTGAAATCAATAAATTGATTAAAAATGCTTTCTGTTATCCGAGGAAATTGACCACATGTGCCTAACCATTCTCAAATAAAATATGATATTGCAGAATAGCCAAAAAGAAAAGACTTTTAATTTCATTTTTTAAACGAATTAACTTACTTTTATAAAGTGTATAAATAAAGGGTAAAAATACTTGGAGGTATTTGTCATTCGAGTAGCCTTCAAATATCAGCTCAAATTACTTAGTGCCTCTTTCGAAACTATAAGTATTGATTTAATATTACAAAGTTGATTTATTAAGATGATAATCATTTTATTCCAATTTTCAAGAAAATTTAATTCCATTGAAATAGCAAAAATGAAACAATTTTAACGGACTGCATCCATTTGAAATAAAAATAAAAAAACATTAATATTCAATTTGCAACACAATTATTGAAGTTTGTCTTAAATATTACAGGAATATAATCACATTTTGTAACGTAAAAGTTTACGCATTGCACGTAATAAATGAATGCAAGAAATCACTAAAATTGTATTCATTGCATTGGTCCCAAATATGCTTACGTGTTAGGATTTTAAGGCTCAAAACACCTAAGTAGGTACTGTGGCACGCAATCACAGGACATGTCTGTTTTTTACTGGCATCACGGGGAACTTATGTGCCATTTAGCTTTTAAAGGAAGTAATAACAAATGCTTTACGTTTAATTCCTACATATGCTGTCTGACTGCTGCCTGTAATAATTTAGGATCTGACATACGCGTTGGAATTCACATAGCATTTCATAGCATGACATTCCCTAATAAAAATTTCTCTGTATCATTTTTTCATCAGTGAACTTTCCAATCATAAATGAAGTGAACACAAAGCATAGTTTCAGAAAGTTGTAATTTGAGTTTAAGTTTGTGAAAAGAAGTTGTTTTAACTTCATTATCGTTTCAAAATGCGTACGAAACTGACCATTATTTATTCACACTTTAACAATACTTTATGGCTTGAACGTTAAATACAAAATAATCGCACATAATGATCGTCATATGAGAGATTTGTCCTTTGCAATATCCTTTCATCCATGCCAATTGTGATGAAAGTTATTATTCCGCCTAGATCTGGAAGCATCTGGAGTTACAATCGCATCGCTTTTAAAGGTTCTTGGATCATAAAGAGCGTTTATGGATTGTTAATTCAGTTTCAAATTTCCTTTTTGAAATTTGCTATTATTAACTTAGCGACTACTGTAGAATCTTGGAAGTGCTGCCGGACGAAAGCATCTTACAAGACGAAAACATGGAAAGTGGAAAACTCTTTCTCCGGGAACATGGAACTCTATCTTACTTTCTGTTGATAGAAGTAAATATTTAAACGGGTGTTGACAAACAAACGCCTTCTTTGTTGTGACTGGGCCATTGCTGAAAATATAAAAGAAGAAAGTTAGCTCTGCACAATTTTCATAGAAGAACTATTATAGTATAATTTGCTAATGAAATCGTTTTGAGACACATTTTAGGAATGTTAGGAATTTTTTCCTTACCATTTAAAGAATATTCAGTTACTGCGGTTATAATCGTGATTGGTTTTTACGATATAATTATAAAAAAAATAAACCTTTTTCTTGTTGCATTTGTCTTTACATTACTTACAAAATTTCTCAAATATTTTGTAAGTTCTACATTAATGGTTCTCAACTTGTGATGAGAGTATCTTTAGGTTTATGCGAGCAACTGTCAGAGAAGAAATATTTAAATATTTTGTTGTTTAATAAAAAGAAGGGGAGGATAGAATTTTCATTAAACCACAGCACATAATCCCTCTTTCGTATTTTCCTACTGTATCCGATTGGTATTACAGGCGCTGAGTTTACGCCAGTGAATTTGCCAGAGTACTGATGAGTATGTGTTTTTAAATTAACGAATATTTCATTTTTATTAGTGGTACTATTTTAAAATAAAGTTAAGATTTGTCCCGATCACAATATTTTAAGTTTTATTTATAAGTGGCTAATTAAAAGCATAATCAAATGGTTTGGTTTATGTAATTACGACAAAGCCTCATGGGCTATCTGGCTAAGGGGAGGGATACCTTTGTGTAGGACTTTCGAAGAAAACCTGGCTCGTATACACTTTACATATGGGGAAAACCACGGAAACGCCCATGCAGACAGCCCGTTTGCGCAAGATTCGAACTTCAAACCGAACTATCAGTGTGCAGCGACTTAACCGCTCGGCCGCTGGTGGGCCCTTAATCAAATAGAAGGTTATTTTTATGAAAACACTGACTGCTGAAGTAATGCTGAACCTTCCTTGCTTCAGTCATCAGTATGAGAAATGGTTCTCTGAACTTTACCTTTAAGATTTCAGTGTAACAGATTTCTTTTGCCGAAAAGGGAAGGATGAAATTATCAAAATTTGTTTTAACTGCCTTGTATAAATATCTTAAATCCTGCATCAAGAAAATATATTTGACAGACCGTTGAGATTGATCGATTTTCGAAAGATCACTTATTGTGCAGTCATATATTGTGCTATGGTTTATACTACCTATCTTAATATCTAATATAGCTATTTGAGAACAATCTGACATCCAGTGTAAATCTAAAACACTAAATCCCATAATATGCTCCTGTTTGACATGAATCTCCACTTGAAAGTGTCATCTAGACAACGAGATACTGGGTTATGTGAAAAGGTTCAGGCATACAGCTCTTTATCTGAAAATCATTGAGGATTCATGTTGTCTCAGCTACAAATCTAGGACTAAAATTTTTAATTAGAATAGTCTTTATTATGTTAATTTTTAAACGACTCTCTGAAAATACTTAAAAAGCTTTTCTGTGGGCACTTCACAGTAAAATGTTTAATTAACTTTTAAAGATTCTGAATAAAAGATAATGCACTAATTAAGATTCTTGAAATAATTTTGCCATGTTTCAGATACTTTATTAAAAATTACGTAGCCACCCAAACGGAATAGTGGTTAATGACTCTGACTACCACCGAAAGGACGGGATTCAAATCTCGAAGGCATGGATGTTTGTAAATGTATAGCGTCTATGCGGAATGAGGCACTCTAAATATATAGCAAGCCGAAAGGTTCTCTCGTGTGGTTTGATGGTAGGGAAGATCCCTCGGGGAGGGTTACAGCCGAAAACATCGCGGACGAAAACGTCGCGGAGAAAACAACGCAAGGCAAAAACATCGTGCTACAAAACATCGTGGGAGAAAACATCGCAACGAGAAAACATCGCAGTTCTAAAACATCGTGGTACAAAACATCGTCGTCGAAAATAAAGCGGTTCAAATACTTCGCAGTTTAAAAATATCGTCGTCGAAAATATCGTGGTAAAAAATAAAGTATCTACAAATCATCGCATGACGATAACATCGCAGACATGCTTCTTTCAGGCTTTAATAACTGTAAATGGATATTCCCATATTGATTTGTGATCGCAAGATGGAAAGAATGCATTTTCATATATTTTTTCCAATAATAGTTTAGAGAAATGAGCAAAAACAGCAAATAGAATTTTCTGAGAAACGGCTATAAAATATAATAATAAATAGAAACAAAAAGTTTCATCGTGTGTGCTCTTTAAAGAAGAGCTTAGTTTAACGTACTATCGTATACTATATTATATAAATTATTTCTGTTTAGTAACAAAAGGAAAGTTCTTGATTATAAAAAGCGCATGAAATAATCATTGTAATCTACCACTATTCTAAAATGTAGAAACTAAAAATAAGTATATACATTAACATATGATCGAAAGAAATGGTATTAAGAAACATCAGCATTACTAGTAAATACTGCAATCCATAATTATTGCATTTTTAATTGCTTACTATTTAAAAAACACAAATATTTTTTATTAATTGGAAATTTTAGTTCTGTTACCTACCTTCTGCTATTTATACTTTCAAACACTACTAGTTCATGTTTTTTATTAAATAGTGCTGCCATGTATGTTGCTTGTTAGGTTATTATTTCATTTTAGATATGAATATGGGAAATTATTAGATTTAGGTATATTTTTGTATGAAAAATTTTGATCACGTTTATTAACTACTTTATACAGTCTTTCATTTGAATATCTTGGAAATATAGAAGTTAATGGTACATTTTTTTACTGGGAAATGCGAATAAATTTATACTCGAGTTCAGATAAAATACTAATTATGTTACCTAAAGAACCGCTTCCTAATTTATCATGCCAGGGGCAATTTTTCAGTGTCTCTGAGGTTTCACAGAAATGTGATAATGCTGTTGTCAGAAACGTTCCTTTTTTACCCACATATATATCTTTACTTTTATTTATGTTTAATTGAGTTTTATTTACTTAAAACCTACTATTAATGTTATATATTTATAATAACCACTTTCATAATTACTCTCACTTAAGGGAAAAAATGATGAAATCTTAAATAATCGTAACTTAGAATTCAATTTATTTAAAAAATATAGTTTAAAGTAGTGAAAATAATTAAGGCTATTAATAATTATGCATATTTAGTCTAAAGAGAAATTTAAAAATTATATTTTAAAGCACTGAAAATAATTAAGGCTATTATTAATTATGCATATTTAGTCGTAACGGTTGCAAAACAGTGGAGTTTCGCGGACATCTGGGCGTCTTAAAGACGACATATTGCAACGTTGCCGTGCTACTTGGGGACTTTAGCGTTCGGCTGCTGGTGGGCAATATAAGGTATCAACATTTTCATTTAAAGTGATATATTTCAACCCTAAAATAAAATTTTAAAAATATTTAAAATGAAACGCAATTTTAGAAAATACTATAAGACACTTAAAAAAAAAAAAAAAAAAAAGGATGCAAACTCAGTTATTTTATGCATTTAATTTTGAGCATATTTCATAAACTGATTTAAAAAGCTTCAATTGTTTTGTTTTGAAAGTCTTCAATAGGTGTAATATTACCAAAAGGAGAAGAGGAATACAATGATCTTTACACGTAGAAAAGGAAAGGCCACTTAAGTTGTTTTCACCCAATGCTGAAGAAATGATAGTTATTAATGTTTTCTTTGTTTTTCTTCTACTGGGGAAGTTTTGGTCTCGATATTAAAAATAGCTACATTAATTTTATATTTTTTTATTTTTCTATTTTTTTATTTCTTCCATATAAGATTTTGTTTGCTGTTAGAAACGTTTACAGTTTAGGTTTCTTGCGTTTTGAGACTCATTAGGATAGCATTATATTTGAGCATTTATCATCAGTTAAGATTCGCAAAGTGCTAGTTTTTAGATATATAATATATATTAACCCTTTGACATAGCATAAAATCTTTAATTTATCTTAAAATAATTTACTGCTTGCCAAATCGAGCAATTTAAAAGCAATATTCATATTTCTTAATTTCTTTCTGAGAAGTCTGAATATATATAAGGTACTTAAAAAGTAGTAGCAGCAAAAGAGAGTGTTCGATTGCTCATCTTTTCAACTTCTCGTTTCGGTTTTTGTGTAATTGCTGTTCGTGACCGTTCTCGTGTTGAAAATTCGTGATATTCCGGATTTTAAATTCTTAGGAGATTCACGCTGTCAGATTGCTCCGTGATTATTAATGCTACCATATACAGCATCCAACATGCTATTAGTTGGATGCTGTTTATATCTGAGCGAAATTCCAGCAAAAATGTTTTGGTTTGGTTTATTTGATTATGGCAAAGCACTTGAGGGCTTTCTGCCTAAGGATACTTTCGAGAGATATTTTCTGAAGATCTATGTTACTAGCTCGTATGCAAGTAACACATGAGGAAAACCATGAAAATGTCCACGTAGTTAGCCAATTCGACAGGATTTGTTTACTACGATTTATACCATTACTATAAATAATGAAAGAAATTTCTAATGCAATATTTTATCTACATGGCTACAAGGTAATTCATTACATGCAGACCTAATGTACTCTTTTTGGTGATGGAATTCGAAAGGATGAAAAGTGTAATATATATTAATATTATTTTTAATTAAAAAAGTAATTTTAACAGAACTCAACTAGTTTCAAGAAGCATTTCATGATCAGCAAAACAATCACTCAGTCTTCTAGTCAGTAGATCGTCTAAAAATGTCTTATTGAAGGACTCAGCTGAAGAAGAAAAACACTGGATTAAGCTCTTTAAAACGAATAAAAATTTATTTACCTGGAGTTCTTTATATTCTATCACGTTTATTTGTCGAAGGCATTTCTAAAATGTTACTTTTTCCGAAGAGTAGAGAGACAAAATGTAGTTGAAAGATTCTATCTCCTGCTTAATATTCAAAATCTCAGTGGGCGACGAATGTGATTTTGTAGTAGAATAAGAAAGGCGAAAATTAAATGAACCTCAATGTTAAAGTTCGGAATAATTGAATTTAATGATAATTAAATGGATTGCTTTGAAGCTTTAATTAGCATTCTAGACTACCAATTGTTTTATCGCCAAGACTAAATGACAGATTTAATTTAAGTACGAATTGAGGTTATACGTAGTATTCAAACTGCTAATGTAAATTTTATCTTTCAGATAAATATCTTGCATTGTCATTTCATAAACAACCTAGGATTTTCAAAAAATGTTTTAACCTTTTTCCTGGCGTACAAGGTTGCCTTTAATAAGAATGATAAAAAATTCCGTTGGTTGGTGAACACATATGAAATTGCAATTTCTTACCTTCAAAACAGACATCTTTTCATCGAATATAGCAGTACCAGTTTTGTTATTCTTTATAGCAATGCAAGAAGTCTTCATTTGAGTTGATGTTCGAACCCATCGTCACAGCTGCCAAGACGTGTTCAGCTGTCCCAAAATGACGTTCTGTGACAATGGTTTTGAGCATCGGAAATAAACAAAATCGCGCAGTCAAGGTTGTAGAAATGTGATATTTTTTCGGTCCAAAATTTCTTTAAAAAGGAAAAATGTGCGAGTTGAGTACATTATCATCGTAAAGGAGTCATGTGTTTGCAGTTTTACAAAGGCCATAGCCAGCTCTTAAATATACGAATACCTGTTATCTGTAATAGCCGCACTGATATCAATTTCTGAAGTGTTTTCGATGCTTTTTGTTTTCAGTACTTTCCTTTCTGTGCATGAAAGCCTCTATGTTACTTGAAGATTTGGGGAGAAGGCAAAACTTCCATAAGACGCTTAAAGAACAAGATGATTAAGAACATCTAAGAACAAGACGTTCCGTGTTTCACTCAAACGCTTATTGCAGAATGCTGTTCTATGGTTTCGCTCATCATAATGCACAAAAATTATTACAAATTTCGTTGATTTAACAGTTTGCCACAAAGATGCGGACTCAGCTGAGGAAAGTCACAACTTTGTACCAGAAACCTCCTGCACCTTCCACGAGTCATAAATTTCTTTTCTTTCTCTTTTAGCTCCTCTGCGTTACACACAAGTGCACAGAAACCTTTCAAGTACTTTTACTTTTGGAACAGACAACATGTTTTATCTTGTGCAATATAATTCCAGTTATCCGAACTGTGAAATTCCGAGTTATTTGCATCAATTTTTACTCTTTTTGTCAAATGACGCTCTTAGCTTTTTTAAGTATTCATTTAAATTAAGTCTTAGAAATAAGAACTTTCGATTTTTTCCATTAAAATCGTAACTTTATTACAAAATAAAAGAAAATTTAACAGCATGTATTAAAATCTTTATTTTATTAGTTCAAAATAATAATAATAATTATCTTATTAAAAAATTATTTTAGTAAAAGGCTGTATATTTTATTTTATGTAAATAATGATTTTTTTGGTATAGTACAGTAAAAACGCAAATGAGAGTAAGGTTGAGGTGTTATGAAAGTTAAAATTTATTTCATTTTTCTGTTTTTGCTGGAAAAAAAAGAAATGAACATTTTTTTTGTTTTACGGAAAATAATTTCATAATTTTCCTTTTTTGTGTTATGTTAATGTGTGTAATGTTGCTTATTAAATAAATTTCGTTTCGCAGGAAATAATCCCTTGAAACGAACGAGTTGTGGCCTGATTTGTCCAAATTGTTGAGGATTTTCTGTAATTAAATTCATAGTTTCTAAAAATAGCAAGCAGAAAAATTGCGATTATAATATATATAAAACACATACCCAAGATGGCAGTTTAATTGAGCTTATAATGCATATGCGCGTAAGAAGTTGCATATTTTAAAAAAGGAGAGCAAATTTAGAAGAAAATATTTAATCATATAAATGATTCGAAAGCAAGAAAAAGCTTCAAAATTAAACAAGATTTTCAACAAGAAGTGATTAGTTAAGTAGTATGATTGAAGTATGGATAGGTAAAATAATACTACACCTTCCAGTTAGCAGAACGGAAATAGAATACTGTCTAAAAGGCTATTATAATTTAAACCAGAGATTGTTAAGAGGGAAACGTTTTATAAAACTGTTTATGAAAATCTGATTGGAATATTACAATCTTTTAAATCCGAAAAAGATCGTGATAGTTGAAGAATATTATATTTAAAAACAAATTAGCTTTATAAAGCGCAGCATTACATAGGAAAACATTTTTCTCTATTTATATTTTTATTTTATGCTGCTGGTTCAGTTCTATTGCCACTTTTTTTATAACAAGGTTTCTCAAGTATTTTTAAAATGCTAATATCTTCTTTATTGTTTTAAATTGGATAAAACCATGGGGCAAAATGCATGAAATTATTAAGAAGAATGATAAAGATTCCATAGGAGACAGTCGATGGGGAAAAAACCCAAAGATTATGGCGGAAATCATAGGGGGTAAGCAAAAAGAGAAACATTTGCAAAACATTTTTTGAGAGCAAATCGAAGAAACTACTCATCAGAGTAATGCTTTATCAAAAGCCATGAAAATATCGGTTCGTACGTTTCTTGAAGACCTTGAAGGAAAACTTGCAAATCCAACGACACTGGCAGATGAATTTTCATTATTTGAGGCAACGAATAAAAGAACAAAAAATTTAGATTTGTTATTTGATGCTCTGAAAACTATAAAACCAAGCTCAGTAGCTAGTGAACGAGTATTTTCAATTTCAGACGATATTGTGTCCAAAATAAGACTACGCCACCGTTCAGTGGATATTTTATGTTTTTTAAAATCCTATTTTCTTAGGAGAAATTAAAATTTGTGAAAATAATATAAATATTATTTGAAATTTTTGTTTGAGTTTTCGTTATTTCGTGTAAGTAATATGTATATGTAATTCTTGGTTTGTTTTATATTTTGACTATGATACTGATTTTGTTTTTGTTATTTTATATAAATTAAATAAAACATTTTTCCCTATTTTATTTTTTTTTTTGACAAAAATTCGAAAAACGATTTTTCAAAAAGGTCGGTTTTTCCATAAAACCTATTTTTGGCTACAACTGTTTATTTCTCGTACAGAATTAATCTTTTGAGGCTGAATCGAACAATGCTTAAATTGTAAAAATAGCTCAACTAGAATGCCAGATATGGGCAAAAACGCTCTTGATGAGCTTTGGTGATATTTGAAAATTTCCTGCCTACCTGGTAACTTTCAGGGGTATTTGGGAAAACGAATTTCAAAGCTCTAGAAGTGATTTTTCTCGAAGCCCTCAGGAACCCGCGCAAAACGTATGAATACAGTTCCGAGAGCCAGGAGAAGTCAGTTGTTAATCAGCTTTGTCGTTAAGAGGGTTCAAAGACAGTTGATAAACTAAATTGCGACTTACTCTGTGGGTATTTTGGAAATTAAAAAAAAAAAAAAAAAAAAGATATTTCTCGTTTGCTAAGGAGAAACTTTTCAATATCCGCGTTCTTCTAGAGCTATTTAGTTTCTTGTGTGAGTTTATTATTTATAATAAATTCTCAATTTATTTCTGCTCACTCGGCGGTATTTATTAGTTTTTATTATAATAAACATCCTTTTATATATTTTTTATTTTATGCAATGAGGAACAGGATATTTTATTATCATCTTAATCAGTGGGATAGCAAATGTCAGAACTAATGCATAAAAAAAAAAAAAAAAAAAAAAAAAAAAAAAAAACTCCTTTTATGTGTATGATTCAAAAACACTATTTTGTTGTTCTCAGAAATACCTGAAGTACTGGTGGTATGTTTGAGATGAGAGGCGTTTCTATTCTATTTCTGGAATTAATTCCACTTTCTTCACTGCTTTCTTGATTTAAGATGCGTAGCTTCCTGGGAGTCTGAAAAAAAATGAAGATGAGCTAATTAAAAGATAACAGTACTTTGAAGTGAACATAATTTGAATCATAACTCAGAAATTTTAAATCTCTTTGCAATAGGTTAATACTTATTTCTATAACATGAACAAGGAAGATTTAATGCGATTTTCTTAAATCGTAAATTGGGAATTAAATCTATGATTTAAGCATCTGTGTCATAGATTTAAGTTTTGAAAATCACAATAATTAGAGTTCCCTTTAACAAAGGCTTCAAAGATAAATTTAGTTATACTTAGGCAGGAATGTGCAAACACTTTCCTGAGTAATTCCTTAATAAATCCACATCTGTAGGTTGATGATATAGGTTTTCTCTAGTTTGCTAAAAGTTCAGCGTTCGCATAAAACTTTACGTAAGCCGAAAGGGCGTAAGGCGAGAATAATTAATTTATATGGGAAAAGTCTTTGAGCATTTCCAGATTTCAAAGAAACTTAAAACATCATACCAAAGCACTCTTGAACTCTAAAACTATATTAAAACAAACCCTACCAGCTTAATATCAAGGTAGTTCGATATCAAATTATATTAATTTGTAAGCATATACGTTGGGGTAAAAACAACACTAAGCGGAAAAAAAATTGAAAGGGTTCAGATTTTTAACGATTGCCTCAAAGGGCTCTTTTAATGTTTCATACGGTTATCTGTAGAGATTTGACAGTAGACATGACCCAGGTGGAAAAGTGATAAAGATATTAAAGATATTAAATGAATAAAGATAAAGATATAATAAAGATAAAGATGAAGTGATATAAAGATATTGAATGAATATGCATTAAGACTAACATGGAACTTTATATATCTTTGGTATATTTCAAAAGTGAAAAAAATTGTGTAATATAATTAATTCTATTGAAATATTTGATTTTTTTAATTATGTGTTTTATGAATTAAATGCATTAGTATTTTAATCAATCAGATTAAAATTAAAAAAATAATATTTTTATGAACTGCGTCTTTTGGTTTTAAATAATTTAGCTTGTTAATTAATAACTGGCAGATTAAATGTGAAAGAAAAATGTTTTACATTTTTCAGAATGGTAACAGACCCGTGAAAGTGAAACACCGCAAAATCGTGTTTCGAGAGACTTAGATCTTTTGGGATAATAAATATGTAATTATGTAGTAAACATACATTCTTTATAAAAATAGCGTGTATGTAGTATAGTTTCAAAGGTGAACACTGAAAAGGGAGCAAACCCACCAGAAAACTTAGAAAGGATGGCAGTGAAGTGATGATTATATAATATGCTACACTATGCATTGAGTCGTCGGAGATATGATAATATAAGATACAAGGATTACGCCAAAGAAAAGGGAGGACAAGGATCAGGTATCGATATTTTATTGGTATTTATGTCTATGTAGATAACAAGTGAGACTACAATTTTGACAACAGACTGACCATGTGTCAAAAGTCAGAATTTGTTATGCTCTTTTTTTTTTTCTTTTCCCAAAGGCTTAAATAATATAAAATGATACACTATTACTATCAATATATTTATCCCCTTATCGTATAATTCTTGGCAGCAATAAAAACTCCTGGAACCCGTAAACTAATGATAATTAGTTACATTTATTTGGAAATGGTTGCTTAAAAATAGCTGAATCACATTTTTGCTTTTCTTCTTTCTTCGAAAAAAGCAAAAATGCTTTTCAGCTTTCATTTGTTAACCGACAAAATGTATAAATTCACGTTTTCTGCAAAAGCGAAATCCTGATAAGCATAAATTAGAGAAAACCTCTGCTCAGTAATAACCATTGTAACAAAAAAAAAATCTTATTTAATAAATCTATACTTGCAGTTGAAATGTTCCGTATTTGGAGGCTAACGTAAAACTGATTCTAACGTAAAACAACGCAATAAAGTTTCCTAAATGGATGGTACTTTTTTTTTAAATATCATATTCTGTCTGACGAAACTGTCTCCACAAACGTTTTATGTTGTGAACTGATATATTCTCGACAGCTTTAAACACGACAAAAAAAAAAAAAAAAAAAAAAAAAAAAAATACTGATGAAAGAAGTATCCGTCGATTCAAAAAGAGTAGAGCTAAATGAATTAATTTTTGCACTGGTTTTTTTTACTATTAACTTTTCTAGAAACAGTCTATTTTACAATTATGAGTGAATGAGAAGCCAGGTAATGCTTTGATTGCCAGCACAAAATGCATAGATATCATGATTAAATAATTTTAAGGCATTGTTTTGAATACAGCGTTTTAACGTGGGTTCTTAGGATCTATGTTTCCAAGGTTAAATACAGCGTTTTATCTAAAGCTTGTTATCACCAGAAATTATACTCTGAAGCTTCGCTTTACTTCGTAGTTTTACTTTAACTAATCTAATTATCTTATTTTCCTGGCTTTAATATAATTTCTAATTTTGGCAAGTTCTACTATAATGCAAGTAATTTAAAATATATAATAATTTTCTAAGTTTCAGATAGCGTTTTGCAGAATTGGCTGGCCCTCACGCTGCCGTAGTTAGGCATGGAAATTTATACTTTGCATTTTATTTAATCTGAAATTGTATTTTGATTAACCCCAAACTACCTCAGCACTAGTTTACTGTGCTGGTAAGAATTTGTCTTCTAGCAGTCTGACCACCAGACTGTAAAAAAATTAAACCTGGCGGTTACATCTGTTCAGGGATGAGATTCCAGGCCCCCGGAGTGGCTTGGCGTAAATCTCTTAGCTCGGGGAACTGGTTACTCGAGGAGAATGAGGACCCTTGGAGCTTAAAGTGTAATTCCTCTAGTGATGGGTAGCATCCGTAGTACTGGCAGACAGACACTCCGGACAAAGGACCTCGTCCCAAGTCCTCATTATGTAGGACCCATTCAGAGTTTGGGGTATTCCCCGTCCGTGGGACCTCGTTCTCGCGGGCGCAACCCTCGCAGTCTCCTCCCGGCTTTTACAAGCATTGGGCAATACAAAATCGTTGGAAAAGATTACGCTGTCACCTTGCCGCCGGGCACTACTCCGTTGGCAAAACCACATTGTTAAAGGTGTACTGTCCGCATTGTCAGTCCCCGCCACGATAACTGAATGGAGTCAAACCCCCGGGAACTTAGTCGACAATATGCACTATGTAGCCCCTCACAGCTGGAGGAACAGACACGACAGCACTAGTACGGTCCCTGCCAAGCCTGAACCAGCCTGAGTACAATATTCGAGCTCTAGTCCTGTGAAGTCAAATTATATACCCCCGTGGTTGAGACTGCCTAGGTACAGATCCTAACCAGTACTTCCCAGGCGTTCACCTGAGTCAACGTCAACCCACGGGGGGGGGAGACAGCATTCTTGAAGACAAATCAGATCTTAAGGCTTTCGTATTCACGCCAAAGTGGTCTCTAGTCACCGAGAGTGGTCAGTCCGACTGGTCACTGTTTAACAGCAGTATAGAGAGAATTTTCTTAAAGTCCGTCGTCCGAGATTGGGACCCCTGAGCGTGCGGAACTATTGGCATACTTCTATCCAATGTGGGGACATAAAATAACACATAAATTTTAAGCCCTACCCACTGATTTGTATTTCTCAGCGTCACCTTCAGTTATCAGGCAGACTTGTATATAATTGAATTGTAAGCAAACCGTAAGTAAGTGAATAACACAAGTAACTACTATAACTGTGTCAAGTAAATATTACACAGGAACTCTGCAAATATGTGAACAGCACATATGATGTACACTGCGCGGAAAAAAGAGGGACAGTTCTGTATCTTCTGTTCTACTGGGCCAATGGAAGAAATTCAAATTGCGTGTTTCATGTTTCGAAAGTGCAGCTTAAAGATATTGTTGTGTGCGTACGGGTTCGTTATGAAATGAATGCACAAGTTCGATGAAAAATGAACAAAAATTTATTATTATCACAACAAAAATGCTTAAATTTTCTCAAATTATCATGCAGTTATTACAATATCTCACAGTAGTTATCTTTTAACTACTCAAATGTCCAATAGAACGTAATTCAAAACAGCTAAAGAACGCTAATCCGCGAATTCGCTACAATCAACAACGAGCAGTTTTCTAAACAACAACAAACTAAGCAACTACTACAAACTGAGATGTTTTCCTCCTTTTATAAGATTTTAAAATCACGCGCTAGAATTTTCCAGTACTTTCTCGAAATCAAAAAGAGATATTTATTCATTTAATGCACGCGCTCTTGTATTTTTTAATTTTCCGGCTTAGCTTTCTTTTAATATTCGTCACGCGCTGCACTGCGCGAGAAATAAAACCATTTAATTTATAATTGAACTAACATTAGCTTTTTTAAATACCAAATTCGTAACACTGCCCCCTTCCCAAGGACTGCACGTCCCGGGCAGTACAATCCCTGGACAGGAAGCCTAAACTTACAAACTGTGGCATAAATGCAATGAGCATAACATTACATTACATAATCAAACAACATGAACAATAAATGCAATAACTAATAAACAATCAAATGCTATCAAATACTAATACACAAATACTAAATACAAATCAAATCTAAATGCAAATCAATACTAAATACAATCAAATACTAAATACACATTTAAAACAAAAAGGACCATGGTCTATACTATTTACAATTATTTACATTACGTACTATGGCCATAGTAATGAGCTAACCTGTCGTAATGAACGACTTTAGGATTTTAGAGTTCGAAGACTTACGAATCCGAACCACGACGTCATTCAGCCTTTTTAGGACTGTGTACGGGCCATCCCAAGGTGACTGTAATTTCGGACAAAGTCCTTTCCGTCGAGTCGGATTCCACAACCACACCTTGTCTCCTTCGTGGAACTGATGTTCAGTAGCTCTTGTGTCGTATCGGGTCTTCATCTTCTCCGTCGCCAAGTTGACTCGCTCTCGTGCAAAGTTGTGCATCACTTCAAACCGGGCCTGGAGATCTTGAATATATTCCTCAGACGATGAAGGAGCATCCGGAGGGCGGCCAAACAATAGATCACAAGGCA